AAAAAAAAAAAAAAAAAAAAAAGAAACCTATGCATGTAACAAAACTGCATATGTACCTCCTAAATTCGTACAATTTAAAAAATCTTAGAACAGAAATTCCTTAAGTGATGGAAGAAATCAGTGGGAGAATGCATGGACAGATTTTTCATGCATCCATGCATCCACCAACAGAACTGGCTTGGTTCGGAGCTAGTCCAAAACCTGCAGTGCTCCCGGAATAGGAAGCCAGCATCCCCTCTCTCATCCAGGTGGTACCCATAGCCCCATTTCTACAGCTCAGAATGGGGTCAGAAGATGCCCTTGATTGGCTGTTCCTGGCCCACCTGCGACATGAGGGTATTTGAGCATGAACAGGAAGCCGTAGCGGAGAGTGGTACTGGTGGTCTCGGTGCCAGCAAAGAACAGCGAGAGCGTGTTGAAGATGAGATTCTGGTGGTTGAATTCACTATGTGGGTTGGATTTCTCCTGCATCCACAGTAGGGAGGGAAGTGGAGGGTCAGGAGAGGCTGTGGCCTTGCTGTGCACATGCCAGTCTCCCTGGCTGCCCTCCATCTGCCTAAAGGTCTCTGACACTGTCTGGCCCAGTTTGATTTTTTCTGTCGTCTACACGTCCAGCCGCATGCCTCTGTCTCCACTTGCTCAGCCTCTCTTGACTCTGCCTGGCTCTGTTTCTAGCTCTCTCCACATCTCTTTGATGTGCTTCTCTCTTTTTGGCTCCCAGTCTCTTTCTGCCTCTGTGAGTCTTTTCTCCTGTTGCTGTGTTTTTGTCTCTTGCCCTGAATTCCTTCCTCAGCCTGTCTTCTCTCTCTCTCTCCGCCCTCCTTCTCTCTCCATCTTAGTTTCTCCTCCCTACTTGCTCTTTTCTTACACCTCATCTTTCTTTCCTTCTGTGTCTCCTCTGTTCCCTTTCCCTATTCTCCCCTCCATAGTCTTTCTTCTTCCCTCTCCCTCTTCCTCTTCCCTACCCCTTTCCTCTCTGTCTTCTCACCTCTCCATCTTGCCCTCCCTCCCCTTTCCTCCCCTCTCTTTTCCCTCTCCCAGACCCCACCTTTTCCATGTGGAGCAGGAAGGCATCGATGAGGTCCTGGGGGGAGCTGGGGTCCAGGGCTTCACGGTGCTTCTCCACACTGTGGCCAATGAAGGCACTGATTTCCTGCAGGTTTTTATAGATTTGCCTGTGTGTCCCAGGAAAGTATTTCAAGAAATCAGAGAAGAGCTCGAACAGCTGCAAGAAAGAAGGGACGGGAGGTTTGCCTAGGGCTGAGCTAGCAGGTCACAGGGAGAGGGCCCCTCCTGGACCCCAATATCTCTGTAGGAGCCCCCCTTCCCCGCTCCCCTCTGCCTGATCCCCCTCATTCACCAACTCTGTCTCCTTCGATCTGTTACGCTCACATATACCTCTTTGCAGCTTCCTCACTCATCTTCTGTCTTTCTTTTGGCCTCCCATCTCCCTGCCCCTCTCCTCTCTGTCTCTCTTTCTGTGCCACTCACTGTCTACCTCAGTCCGTTTGTCTGTCTCCCTCTTCCCTCCTCTCCTCATCCCCCTTGCTGTGTCAGACATTGAGAAAATGACTCTTACACAGGATAAGCCTGCTGACACTTTAGGACTATGTATTTTGGAGTATATCTCTTTTACTTCGATGGAGAATGAAATGCCTAATTTACTGCAAATAATTGCAAAAATGCAAACACATATAGTGAGATGTAAAATTCCTTCTTAATCTCTCCTTCTAGAGAAAACCATTGTTAACTGTCTGGTGGGTCTCCTTCCAGACTTTTCTCTGTGGTTCTCAGTGGGAGGAGAACATTAGAATTATTGGTCAGGCTTGTTACAAGTACTCACCTTGGGCCCCATCCCAGACTTTCCAGATCAGATCATCCAGAAAGTAGGGTCCTGAAAATCCGTATCTGTGGCAATCCCACATACACCCCTGCTTAAGAGCTGTGACTATGTCTGTTCTTAGACCAGCCTGGCTGACATGGTGAAACCTCATCTCTACTGAAAATACAAAAAAATTAGCTGGGTGTGGTGGCGCTCGCCTGTAATCCCAGCTACTTGGGAGGCTGAGGCACAAGAATCGCTTGAACCTGGGAGGCAGAGGTTGCACTGAGCCGAGATAGTGCCACTGCACTCCAGCCCAGGTGACAGTGCAAGATACTGTCTCAAAAAAAA